CCAGGTGGGTGGCTGGACTCATGTTACAAGCAGGAAGCGTGTGTGTGTGCATTTCCCGTTGTTAGTGTGTGTGTGTCGTGGGTGGTGTTTGCTAGTTGGATTTTGCAAGAAAAGCCACCACCAGCACCGTGAGGTGGTGGCTGCCACCTTGTACCACCACCATCCACCATAACAGTGGTTGTACGACAGTGTATATGTGTGTTATATTGTGTGTGTGTGTGTTCTTTTGGATATTGTTGTATAATTGTAATTAGTGGCCGGAATAATCAAGGAATTTCATATCCACCACCGTGAGGTGGTGGCAGCCGCCGTGATCCGCCCTGACCACCACTACTCGAGGTGGTAGTGGGTGTTGCCCGACTTAGCTAACCTAATTGACCTAGTGAAACCCTAATTTGACCCATAACTTCACAAATGGACTAATTGGAATGCTATTGGGTTAGAAACCCTAATTAGGGTTTGGAAAACCCTAATTTTGGAAATGTGAGATTTGGAATTGTCGGGACCCGCATTTAGACTGGTAGATTGGAATTTTTAATTATGTCCGACTAGATCGTTTGAATGGCCTAGTAGATTGATAGACTTAATGGATTAAGTACTTAATGGGTTAAGTATGAAACACTTAACCCTAATCATCATTTTATGTGAAAAACCCCAATGTGGTTTGGGTTCTTGTTGGGCCGTTTATTAGACTAAGTTGTTGTGGGCCTTCGTGGGGTAATTACAGCATATTTATGGACTAAAGAAGTTATTGGGCTTTAGGATAATGCCCATTGGAAAGGCTTGGGCCTAATTTGGAAAATTGGGCCATAAGTGGGCCATAATTGGGCCTTGATGATTATGAGATATTGGACTATCAGAATGCCAATTGTTTGGACTAGAATAAATGGTTGGGCCTTAATAAAAGTCCATGTAGACGTTTGGGACCAATTTGGAAAATTGAGTTAAATGTTGGGCTTTGGTTCATTTATTGATTTTTGGGATTTCAGAGTGTGTGTTTGGACCTTGGTTTTGGACCAAGTTAGGTTAAGGGTAAAATAGTCTTTTTATCCCAAGCATGGACTTATGGTTATGTATTGGAACTCAATCATTAATTGGGTGTTGTTTTGATGTTGACTGTTTGGGAATCTGTCAACCAGTAGCTAGAGTTTTATCTGCGGGACTTCGGCAGTGCGAGTGATTCTCCTCACCGTACCAATGGGTCTAAGGAACCAAGGTTGGCCCATTTTATGATATGTGGTACACTAGTTGATGTAGTGTTATGTGGCATGTTAGCTGGTTATGTGCTAGGAGGTACGCTAATCGTATATATGTTATACTTGTATGGAAGACAATGGGAAAGCCCATGACACTTGGATGTAAGACGATATGGAGAGCCCATGACTTTCCTATTAAAGACCATGGGGGAGCCCATGGCACTTGGGTGTAAGACCATGTTGAGAGCCCATGGCTTTCCTATTAAAGACCATGGGGGAGCCCATGGCACTTACACGTAAGACCATGTGGGAAGCCCATGACATCCTGGAGTAAGACCCTGGGGGAGCCCACAACATCCTTATATGTTTATATGCTTGGCTTGTGTATGCTAGTTGATTATGTGACATGTGGTACGATAGTTATGTATGACAGTATCTGATATGCTAGTTGTCTTTGTGATTCTTGCATGGAAGACCCCGGGGGGAGCCCGTGGCAGTTGGATATCAGACCATGTGGGGGAGCCCGTGGCATCCCTAAATGTTTATATGCATGACTTATGTGATTGATATGGTTTATGTAGCTGTTATAGCTAGTATGGATTATGTGGTTATGTAGCTGATATAGCTAGTATGGATTACGTGGTTATGTGGATTGTGTGGGGTAAGCGCTGGAGAAATCACTAAGCTTCGTGCTTACAATTTTGTTTATTGTTTCAGGTATCATCGGTTTTGAAAGAAAGGGCCCGGCTTGATCGCAGCACACACGCCCATGTTTTCCGCGATGAATGGATTTTGGATGAAGTTTGATAAATGTTTTAATCAGCGGTGTTATGGAATGTTTGGAATAAATGATATATATGTTTTGGCTATATTAAAAATGAAATTTTTACCCTTGATTTTTGGATCGTTACAATCAAAACGCATTTGTTGTTGGATATGCTCACAATAATACCTTTTTTGATTGCTACTATGATTATTTGGCTATAACAGACACTGATCTTGACATGGCAATCCATAAACCATTTGGTGTTGTTTTCCAAGGTATGAATAAAAAGGGAAAGTTAACAAAATTCCTTTTTCAAATGAATGATATTGAGAGATACACATACTCTCATTTTTCGAACACTTTACTCTGTATCAACGATTACATGAAGAACAATAATGAAGACAAGAAAAAGATTTGAAAAATCATTCCTTGATATATGGGTATAAGGAAGGAGTTGCTACAAAAAATGAAGACATTGACATGAAGATCCGACTGTTCTCAAAAAGGGGGAGAATGTAGAGTCGAAAGTTGTTGTGAGAGTCTAAATGTAGTGTCTTTATATTAGTGTTTGTAAATAGCGAAGGTTTAAGGACTTTCATTTTCTTTATCTATTTACAAGGCATATTAGAGTTTCCCATGTAATGTCTGGCCCTTGTATTTTTTTAGTCTGTGAGTATCCTATAAATAGGGTAAGTACTTAGAGATTAGAGTAAGTAACTTTCACAGTTATTCTCTTGTACTTAAAATCTCTCTGTATCGTTTCGGACATCAATTGAGCTGAAAACATGTCTTAATTTAGATCTATGTGTTCTTACTTGCTTTCATTAATTCAATTGACTTAAACACATTTCTTTTAACTCTTTAGACTCTTCGTTATCCATTTATACTATATAAGTTTCATCTAATTTTTTAGACTTATGGATTAATAGTTGTGTAAACGTAGGTGAGATGAAGCTTTCCTAAGCAACAAAATCAAAAAGTATAGTTGCGTATAAATGGTTAATAGGAAACGTACACATCAAAACAATTTGGTCTTGAATAGTGTCACTAGAACCTATCATGAATGACCTACCTCTAGTAAGCTCTCTTAATGTGCCTGATTATCCCACATTCACAGCAAGCTCAATTTTCTGGTTTTGTAGGCACTCCTATAGCTGCTGCAGGCATAGCAGATGTCTATCTACAATACTTGATGGTGTGCCCCTATCTATAGCACCTATTAAAATTAATGCATTTGCCAAAGTGATGGAAATGGCATCGGTTGCATTTCAAGTGTTTACCATCATACTGTCATTGGGGTGTGGGGACTGCTACCAGGGTTGGAGCCGTAATGTCGGCATAGACATCGCTAGTCTCCTCCCTCTTAATCGGGGTTGTCTTGGAGTTTCCCTTTAATCTTTTTCCATATTTTCTCTTCTTTTCTTTGGATTTTGGGATGTCTGCTCTTGAACCAAACTGTCGTGCCTGATCTCCTGCTTGGTTAACCTATAAGCTAGCCTCTTGGCACTATGCTACATGGTTTGTCGAGAAGTTGTGACCAATCCATGGATGGTTAAACTAACCACCAAATGTACCGCTCCACCTTTTTGTTCTTAAGGGTTACGAAACTGGGACATAGAGTTGTCAGGTCATTAAACTAGTTGGTGTAGGATATCATGTCAAAATCATTCATGGTTAAGTTATCCTAAAGACAAAGAGTCTGAATTGGTGATTCCAAGAGTCTTGGTGTAGCCATTTCACCAGGACAATGCCTCATCCATAAACGTTCAAGCAATAAAGTTCACCTTACTCTCCTCATCACATAGACTAATTTCAAAAATTGACTATATCTTTTCCATCGATCATGTGAGTCCTACAACCCGGTCGTTTCCATAATACATCTTAGGCTTGCAGTTCATGAAGCCTTTATAGGTGCAAGCTCTTGGGGTACCTTAGTTGTCTCCTTAATAGATATCACCTCCTACTCCCAATCCAGATCCTTTATTATGTTTAAATTATAATTCTGTCATAGCACTTGCAATGTATCAAGCTACTAATGCCTCTATGGCTGCTAAGTCCATAAGGGTGGCATCCTGAGTTGATTGAGCATCTTGGTCTGGACGGGGTTTGAGGTTAGACCTAGTGATTCTTGTGGTGCCATTTCTTGGTCCTAAAGTTAGTATCAAGATGTGAGTTAGTAGTTTGCATTCGTATATGTGTTGCCTTTGCGGGAGTGGTTATGACGTAGTGAGTTATTGTTAGCGTCAATCAAGAAATAGCGTACGAGCATAGAAATACATACTTTATACAACCTTAGTATTTTTCATGCATCATATTGTTTGTTTAAGTAAAACACCAAAAGATCTGGTTAATGTAGGAAAAGCTTAATAGTTTACAAAAGAGCAAGTATACTATAACGTGCTAGCTTTTTCAGGTACACTAACCCAAAAATATATGTGTGTCCATCCTAGACCATCAGGTAGGGAAAACTACAACCCACTATATACAATCAATAGTGAAATTAGCCGTACTAAATGTCTATGCACAAAATGTACCCAAGTGTCTGAAAAACAGATCATCGCCTCAACCCTCTCAACCTACTACTCCAACCTATCAGTGTGACTCACAACCTCCTGTATCACCTACTACTGAAAATGCACCTCATCATGAGCCTCCTATAACTGATCATGTACCAGTATGATCTGCATCTTAACTATGTGTTTATCCTCCTCCAAGCATTCCACCCGATCAGTCAACTGACTCAATGTCATCCGTAACATAAAGAGCGTAGAATCCAAGGCTCAACTGGGGTATATGTGATAGGGGAAAGTGTTGTAGAGGACTCTCCCACCTCAAAGCGAATACCAGTGTCATCATCCTACTTCTATGCTCAGGCCTGTGGAATCCATGAATAGTCTCTACATGGCTTTTTTGATGGTGGTTGGATGCAAGCCTTTTCCTAGAGGGGATCGTTGTAGTCTTCCTCGAGGTTTACTTGACCCGAGTTCTAGACTTATGTGATCGTAGGATGTATGTGAAGGGGATAGTGGTAGTGAAATCTACACTAAAGTAGTGGTATCCTCCTCTAGGTCATAATTAGAGCTGATGTGCTCAAGCTCTATTGGGGTGTAGCCCTCCTCAGTCGGCTTGGCGGAGTCTGAACTAGCAGCTCCATTAACCTCATCCTCTATGGGTACCTCCTTGAAAACCATGAGTGTGAGTGCCGCTAGGACCGCTGGGGCTATAGTGTCCTCAGGGTCAGTAGTGTTAGGAACTAGTTGCTCCTCGGGTGGGGAAGCTATCGTCCATAATCCCGTGTTTGCCATCGCTCTCTACTAAAATCTATATAATACATCACACAGGGAAGATATTTGTGAGAGATGTGAAGATTAAATAAATATAAATCCTATCCAATTATAATTATTTAATAGATAGTACGCGAAACTCATGTGTCTTCCTACAAGGACGTAAGTCCTAAATAGCTGTCTCTAAGCAAGGAAACCATAAGTGTAGAAGTCTAAGCCATAAATCATCAAAGGTAGCAAATTTCTAGTTCAAAAAAGAGTCCTCAAGTATAGTATCCAATCTAGAAGTCATCAAGCATTTAGATTGCCAACTATGGTATTCGAGTTGATTCATATGTCGATCAGACCATAATAAAACTTAGTTGTGCATTCTAGGTCTTGTTATGATACGACCGATGTACTATATGAACTCTAAATATTGTTTCTAACCTAAAATCTTAAGTTATGACTTCATGGATTTGTGTTGTGGTGAATAAATATGTTTATATGTGCATGTGTATATAAATCTATCTTTAAATTTTGTTTTGTAGTGTATATTTTATAAATTCTTGTTATGTACTTCAAGACTATCAAGTAAGGATCGGCCAGGTAAGATGTACTGGAGGGCAGGATAATTTTAGCATATAGTCGTTCTGAAATCCAGCAACCCAAGTAATAGTTCAAACTAGTCACCTATCCCATAAGTAGTCTATATATAGTCTTATTATTAATAAAACTTTTAATAACTATACTTAAGGGTTAAGCCTAATAAGAGTGTATGCCCTAGGTTAAAGTTGTAATTCCTAAGGGTTAAACCTATAGCTCTGAAACCAATTTGTCACACCCACAATAGGCGGCATAAACGCTGGGTTGTGTAGCATTAGGATGTTGGATTTCATGGCAACAAAATATATTGAACAATACAAATATTATGCAAACATTACTTTTTATTCATTAAATAGTATATATCACATAGGTGTTCAAGGTACAAGTATGGTACAAAAGCATATTAAAATATAATACATAAGATTCTAGTTGCATCATCGGGATGTCGTTCGCCGTCTTCACTGCTCATTCTACTGATAATACATGTGGTTTGACAGGTCAACATAATGTTGGTGAGTTCATAGATATTATAAACTTTAAAGCTTTTTTTATGGTTTGTTATATCAACGTTGTCGTTATCGTAAACTCATGTACTTGAGTTTGCGTTATATCGCTACTTTCTTAGATTTATTCCCAATATTAGTTTTTAGGTTGATTAGTTAAACAATGTTACGATGAATTACTATAATCGAGCAATGACTGTGTAGGATAATCCCCGTCAGGTTGTTGCTAGCAATCGCAGGTGGGAGTGTGAATCCCATATAGGTCTATAGATATCTTTTCCCGCTCACTTAAGATTTAACGTGTAACGCCCCGATTCTCAGGTATTAATATTATGAATTTAATTTTCAAATTTCAAGGTCTACTCGACGAGTTTGATGCCCTGATTCGTCGAGTAGCAGCGGGTTTGGGGCCACATGTTAAGTGACCAACTCGCTGAGTTAGTAGAGTGACTCGACGAGTTGGAGCTGGAGGGTGAAACCCTAATTTCCGGGGTTTTGCACCCTATTTAAGGAATCATTTGCCCCCTTAAGTCTCTTACAGCCTCTTGAGAGCTCTAAAAACCCTAATTCGTGTGTGTGTTCATCTTGTGTGATTTCAAGCTTGGAAAAGTGTGCTAGAAGAAGGAGGAGTGAAGCAAAAGAAGTTTGGATAATTGAAGAGCTGGTGGATCTGAGTCTTCTGTCTCTTGGCATCATTTGGAAGGTAACAAGTCGTTACCTTGCCTTCTTTCCTTTTTGATCTCTTCACATCTAAGATTAGGGCCATTTTGGGGTTTATGTGAACCATTTTCGGGTATGAGCTATGAATTGGAGTTGCAACTTCAGATCTAAGCTTATCTTAACCCCTATAGCTATAAAGTTCCAACTGTAGCAAGTAATAACCTTTCCCTTTTGAACTAATGTCATTCCAAGCTTGGATTTATAGTTATAAGCTTTTAGAGCCTTGCATACACGTAAAGCCTGCAACTTTACGTGATAAGCATGCCTTAGGAGGCTAGATCTAGTGATTGGAACACTCGAATGGCTCAAAATTATCTGGACATGGATTAGGTTGCATGGACTCGACGATTCGGATAATCCAACTCGGCGGGTCGAGTAGGGTTATCGACTGAGTGGTCATGCATGGACTTGGCGGGTCTGGGAGATGACTCGGCGAGTCAGTTAGGGTTTTCCAACATTTGAACGCGCATAGACTCGGCGAGTTAGTTGGGAACTCGGCAATTCGAGTCGAATGATTCAGGAATCTTTAAAGAACTCGACGAGTGGCAAGTTGCACTCAACGAGTAGGTCAACATGGACTGTTGACCATTAACCATTGACCTTCACTCTGATCAAGGGTTGACCAGTTGACTTCCGAGGGTATTTTAGTGAATTGAGAATTTATGAGATTGGACCATTGGTGGTTATAGGTGTTGGTGGTTGGAGCTGTATTTGGAATAGTTGACAGTATCATCCTAAGCTTCTTGCGAGGTGAGTTATCCTCACTATACCAACAGGGTCTAAGACACCAATGCCGGCCCATATCGGATTTTATCCTGGTTTATTGCATGATATGCTTATTGATTTACATCCTGGTAGTTAGGATGGTGTGGTGCTTAGTGACCTGGTTAGGTCGGTATCCTGGTATATAGGATGATGCTATGTTAGTGACTGGTTAGGTCTGTATCCTGGTTATAGGATGTTGCTATGATTGATGATCTATTAGATCGGTTTTGACTGCTATATATGGTAGCATATGATATTATGTGCACATGTTGTTTGATTGGGGGTTGGGTTGAGGCGGACCTGCTTTGTGATGAAGGCCAACATACCCAGGGCGGTCCGGATAAACTACAAGCCCAGGAGGGCATCTGAGTCAGACCGAGGTCCAGCGAGCGGTCCGGCTAGGCTGTAGGCCCTGCGAGGCGGTCCAGGCATGCCGAAGGCTTGGAGAGCGGTGTAGATAGGCTGAAGGCCTACGAGGCGGTCCAGTCAGGCTGAAGGCTCATGATGAATGCTGTTTGCTTATATGTTATTGATATGTTTTATGGCGTTGGTATTTTAGGGGTAACTCACTAAGCCTTCGAGCTTACATTTATCGATTATTGTTTCAGGTACTTCTGATGATCGCGGGAAGGCGAAGGCGTGATCGTACAACTCCTCATATGTCATGATTTTATGATTTGATTCTGGGATACTCTGACATTTTACTATTTTGAAAACAAGTTTGTAATAATCATGGGTTTTGAAATGTTTTAAAAAGTTTAAAATTTGGCATGATTTTTATGAGTGTTACAAGTTGGTATCAGAGCCTTGGTTTGAGTGAATTGGAGGAAACACTCATGTGTCTCCAGTCTCAAACTGAGGACAAGGTTATAAAATGATTTTCTTAAAATGTCTTCAAAATAATAAAAGGAGGATGCAAGTGTACGATCAGCCGGAGCTCGCGGATAGACCCCAAAATACCTTACGGATTATTTGAGTTATGAGATATGATTAGAACAGCATGCTAGTACTAGGCTAGGGATATTCAGGAATTGCATGATAGAATTGCCTGATTACATGATGCCTGATAGCCTAGAGTTTTTTTTCCTTATATGAAATTGACATAATTACTGTAGTTGCTTAGTGTATGCATCACGGCTGTACATAATTAAGATCTTATAGCCTGAGAATGTTTGGTTTGGCCTTATTTCCTATTCTTGTTTCATGAAGGGCTTAGGGTAGGATCAGGTATTCGAAAGTCTGTAGGGTCCAGTGTTATGTATGGTTAGCATACACGAGTGCTGCATGGTTTATGGAAGTTTCATGGGTGGGTTATGAGAAGCCGGGAGGACGGTACGAGATATGTTAGCATTCCTCTAGGAGTGAGGATTGACCGCTCGCTATGATTACGTATATTGTTAGGGCGTTATGATAATACTTGTGACAAATATGGGTAGGTGTGGAAGGTAGTATGGGCCCGGACTACTGAAAGCACAGGACCCATACACGTAGCAAGGAAGACACAACCCCTAGGGTTTAGTCATGAGTTGGTTCCCAGTTATTTGTGTGGATTATCTGATACCTTGTGTTATAATGGTGATGACCAGACGCTTTGTGACTGGATCCGGTTCGGGATCAGAATCAGGAGACGGAGGCCAGGAGGGGCCAACAGCACCTGAGCCTATGGTGCAGATGGGTACCGAAGAGTTGGATGCCAGGATTCGAGAGATCCTGCATGACGAGGTTGCTGCTATGTTCCGGGCGCAGATACCGGAGATGTTTGGTCCTATTAAGACCGCTATGGTTGAGTACTTCGACGAGCGTTATGCAGCCCTTGCAGATACGGCTGACGCTGTAACTGCATCGGCGGTAATAGCGACATGAGGAGGTGGAGCCAGTCGGGGCTTCCGGTACCTGGACTTCGATAATATGAAGCCCCCGACAATCGATGGTACCCAGGATCTGATTAGAGCTATGAGGTGGTAATCTGACATGGAAGGCTGCTTCTTCACATGTTCATGTCCTACTGACCAAAAGGTCAGATGTGCCCTGAACATGCTGAGGCTCGGGGCCAAGGACTGGTGGAGATTGACGACAGAGACGTACACTGATGATTAGAGAGTTGCTGTTACGTGGGAGCAGTCCAGGGATATGTTCCGCGCTCAATACATTCCTCAGGTTGAGTGGGAACGATTGGCACAGGAGTTTTTGAGTTTGAGACAGGAGGGAGAGTCGGTGACGGAGATCACCCGGATGTTCACGAAGAGGGCGATGTTTTGCCCAGAGTTTGCATCGGAGCAGGCCAAGATGACACGTTATCTGAGCATGCTCAAGACCGACATTCGTTAGTTTGTTGCCACACAACGATGTGATACTTTGTTGGAGTTACAGGAGGCCGCTAAGCGGCGTGAGTTGGAGATTGAGCTGCAGATGAGGGAGCAGCGACAGGCCCCGACACAGTCACAGTCG